CCCCTGCGCTCGCCCGCCGGCGCCTTACCTGCCCTGCCGCTCCTCCAGCTCGGACTCCAGGGCGCCCAGGGCTGCGGTCTTTTCCACCACCTGGTAGGCCATCTGGGGGCGGTTAAAGGCCAGACTCTGGGCCTCTTTGTAGAGCTTCAGCCAGGGTCTGCTGCTGCACCCACCCGCTCCCTTACTGAAAAGCAAGCTGAGGCACAGGTAGACTTCGGGTCTGGCCCGAATGCACTGCTGTTTCATGGAGCGATGGAAGGGACTTAGGCCCTGAAGTCTAATCCCTGCGTGTCAGTCTTGGCGTGGCCATTTATTTTTCTCTGTGACCCAGGGGTGGTCATTCAACCTCAGCCTTCTGTTATCTCACCTATAAAATGGGAATGATGGTGCTGGCCTTATAGGGTAATACGGAATTATTATGAGAAATCGTTTTTCAAATAATGGCAAATTTTTTAATAGAGCACTTATGTGTTCCATGCCTTGTTCTGAGCATTCTACACATATTAATTCTTAATCCCCATAACATCAGTCTGAGGTAGGTGATGCCATTCTCCACATTTTACAGAGGACATTGACACAGAGAGGTTAAGTGCCTTGCCCAAAGTCACACAGCTAAGTGGCAGAGCTGATATTGGACCCCAGGCCACCGAACATTATGCTCCAAGTAAAGGGCTGGTCTACAGGAGGGGTTCGAGGGTTGTGGGTTCTGTTCCCCTGGCCTACTGAACAGATCCCCCAGAGTAAGAAGGAGCCCTGAGCAGAGGCACGCAGCCTAAGAACAGGAATGGACTATAAGAGGACCCGGCCCAGAATAAATGCTGGAGCTGCCCCACCGCCCAAGAGTGGGGGTGAGGGTCATCTTATCTGTGCCCCTGCCTCACGGAACAGTCCTTCAGCCAGGAGCTGGGGAAGCCACAGAGATCAAGTTCAACTCCCACCTCTTGGAGCTGAGGGATCAGTGGGAGAGACAGGCCCCAGACAAAGCAGTTCCCACCAGTGTGGCGAGAGGAACCTGAGGAAATACCCTAGGCTGGGGCTCTACTGGTAACCTGTTCCTGTGTTCTCACATGGGCGGGCCTGGGGAGGGATGGATTGAGGAGCAAGGTTGGTGCTGTCCACCTGCACTGACATTACTCACTCTCTGGGCCTGGGGAGGGGCCCAGCACACACAAGGCAGGGAGACCTGCTTTCATACCTGGCCCAGTTTATAACATTTATAATTCCTTTCACCACTAAGCAATCTGATCACCACTTCCACTTCCTCACCTGTCATTTACTTGCATTGATATCTTGGTACTCAGTTTTGTTTTGTTTTTTTTTGTCGTGTTTTTTTTTTATGCTTTTCAATATTCAAATAATAGAGATGGAAAACAGATTAGCTGCTAACAGGAATTAGGGATGGTTGGGGCAGAGGGATAAGTTGTGACTAAAATAGGGCAGAGAGAGATCTCTGATGATGAAATAGAGCCGTATCTTAATGTTCACACAAATCTACACATGTGACAGAATCACAAAGAACTACAGACAGTTCACACCAATATCAATTCCCTGACTGTATGTGCTGTAGTTACAGAAGATGTAACCGATGGGGGAAACTGGGTAAAGGGTACACAGGTCCTCTCTGTACTGTCTTTGCAGTTTCCTGTGAATCTATAATTATTTCAAAATAAAAAGTCAAGTAATAGTAATAATACATGTTGGTTGTGATCATGTGAAACAGTGCAAACAAAGGAAAAGCCCCTCCTCATCCCCTGGTATATCCAATGGGAGCTGCCTGGTGTGTGCCTGAGGAAAGAAGGAGAGGGAGTGCTGAGGGCAAGGGGTGTGGGAGGGATCCCATACAAAGGGAACTATGAGCTCAGAGATAAGAGAGTGGCAGGATATATATATACCAAACTGATAATGGGGAGGGGGGTGAAAGAGGCTCTTACTTGTTTGTATTCTATGGACTTCTGTTCTCTTGAAATGTTCACAACAAGCATATATATTACTTTTTCTCTAATGGAAGTCACTTTTATTATTAAAATATATCACTCTGAGTGCCGTATGAAGAATGGATGGGGGTGCCAAGAGAGGAGTCATCCAGGGTGGAATGAGGTCAGTTTGGACCAGGCCAGACATGGTATAGGAAACAGAAGTAGATTTCGAGGCAGGATCCATGATCTGGTGACTAGCTCAGAACAGAGGGCTGGGAAGGGTCAGGGGTGCCCCCAGGTTTCCAGCCCTGTGACCACTAATGGAGGGGTGCATGATCCACCTCATTCATCACTTAGCCTACAGATATGCATTAGCATGGACTGTGGAGACAAGCCCCAGGGACACAGTGGAGGCAAACCAAAAGCATTCCAGGCCTTGGGGTGCTCAGAGCCCAGAAGGGGGTTCAGATGTTTGAGAACCACTTCTCAAATGTGAAGTTGTGACTACAAGACGCTGAGGGAGAGGCTCTCACTGCATTCATAGCCCCATTCCCACACTAGTTAGGCAGGTGACTTGGCATGCTGTAACTGGGCATAAGTTTACTGGTCCATCAGTCTCCTCCAGTAGACTTGAACCTCCATAAGGCCAGGTCTTGTTTATGCTGCATTCCTGTGCCTTGCATGTAGCAATTGTCAATAAATATGTGTTGAAAGAATGGAGAATGCCCGGCCAGCGTGGCTCAGTGGTTGAGCGTCGACCTATGAACCAGGAGGGCTGAACTCTCACCTCACTTCCTCCAATTGCTGTTGGAGCCCACTTCATCCTGGGCTGCCAGAGCCAAGCTAGAGAGCATCGGACTGTCTGGCCTCAAGGCACTGGACTTGGGGACTTCCCTCTTTTGCTGGCTCCCTTGGACTGAATCTTCCATCCCCCAAAATCCTAGATCCTGGCCCCACTACGTTGTCTCTCAGACCACATTCTCAGACCCTGCCCAGCCTACCTCACCACAGACCAGCCGAAGTCCCTCCTTCTCCTCTTGCCATTTCACCCTCAGAATGTCTGGTGATGGGACTTGGTCTGAGTTAGACCACGACTCCTCCTCCCTGCCAACCAATCAAGAGAGTGGTGCTCATTGTCCCTCCATTCACCCAGGCCATGTGCATGAAAAGCCTGAGACCAGAATCATGAACTTTCTCCTAGAAAGGTGGAAGCCAGAAGAGGAAAGCGCACATTTCCAGCAATTGAAGCTGTCCATGACTCAGCTCTGGGAGTCCCCCAGCCTTGGTTTCCATGGTCAGGACCCTCCTTTAGAAGCACCTCCCAACTCTGAGCCCCAACCCATTCTTGATTCTCATCTTCACTCCCTCTTCGGAATAGGTAGCAAGACCCTTTCTGTAGGCATCGGGTAAAGAATTAGGGATACAGTCCTGGCTGGGAAGGCTCAGTTGGTTAGGGGTTCAATCCCCAGTAGGGGGTGTGCAGGAGGCAGCCAATCAATGATTTGCTATCATCGTTGATGTTTCTCTCCCTCTTCCTTCCTCTCTCTGAAATCAATAAAAAAGTATTTTTTTAAAAAAAACGAGAGAGATAGAGACAGGAAAGGGGAAAAGATGTGTGGGGGTGGGAAGGGAAGGAGATGGGACAAATGCAGAGATGGACTGAGATGGGTAGGAGAGAAGGACTTTCAAAGCAGCTGGCCTGGGGGAAGGCTGAAGAGCTTACATACCCCTCCCCCCGGGTAGCAGACAGGGGCCAATGAGGTGCCAGGGAGAGAATGGACCCAGCATAGGCAGTGGGGGCAGGGCCTAGGCACAGGCAGCCCATTGTGACCACAACCACAAGCATGCATACACTCACCAAGGGCCCTGGTGGGGGACCGGAGTGACATCGTTTGGCTCTGGCTGCAGCTTGTCTGAGAACCGGGCCAGCAGTTCAGCCTTCTCTAGGAGATGGTTATCTAGGGGTGCAAGAGGGTGAACCTGGGGCAAAGACACTTACCAGCAAACTCCAGACAAAAAGGTTCCCTGTCTGGCTGGGAAGGCTGCAGGAGCCCAGGAGTGCCAATGGGAGAGCTACTGGCAGATTGGGTTCGACCCCTTCCTTAAGGAGCGTTCATACAGCTCCACCAGGACCTTCAGCCTTGGCACAGCATCCTCACAGCACTAGCCTCCAGACCCTCCCAGGAGAAGACCTGCTTTCCCAGAAGGATGACCACCACTGGGGAAGGGTCCTGAGAAAGGAAGGGGCCAGGGTTGAACCCCCAGCCCCAGGGCAGGGCCTGGCCACAGAGAATGTTCTGAAACACACAGCTCCACCTGCCCATGGCCTTACTTCCCCTCCAGGGACTTTCTGGATGAAAAACAATCCTGACTTTCCCTGGTAGAGTTGGAAGGTTCCTCTCCCCTCCCATCCCCACCCTCCTCCAGCCCCACCCACCATCCCAGCCAAAACAGAAAGCCCTTGAGCAGTTATCCAGCAGACCTCAAGTTCAGTAGTTTCTGCTACAGACCCTGAAACACACCTCCTCCACACCCACCGTGGTCACTTCCTCTTTTTTCACCAATTCCAGGATAAGGTGGAGGTGACAAGCCCAGGCCTAGCTCCGCAGCAACTTTCCCCCTCCATGTCTCACCTCCAAACCCCAGCCCAGCCCTCAGGGCACTGCACTGGCCCCCCAGCAAGTCTAAAGATGCCATTTTGCCCAGTTTATGGGTGAGAAATCTGAGGCTGAGGAATATGATCTGCCCAAGACCACAGAGAAGACTGGGCTTTAAGTGTGTCTGATTTCAGCCCTTGAGTCTCCCCAGGCCCACACATTTGCAGCTGGTGGGGGGAGGTTTGGTGAGGGAGGATTGATTAAACTTCAGCCAAGATTAGGCCCAATGATGGAGCTAGACTCTAGCTGCTAGAGGGATTGGTGACCAGAGAAGTGACCAGAAGCCCTGCACAGAGATGCACACCTGTTTATCTCGCTTGATCTCCATACCCCTTCCTGACCAGCTACCCAGAAACAACTCTGTGACCGTCTGATTCCAGGGCTCAGCTAGCTCCCTCCTGCAGCCTGGGGCCTCCGTTTCTCCCTCCGGCCAGCGTTGGCTGGGCACAGAGGCACTCCAAAAACCTGAGCCAGGATCACCTACCTGTGGCAAAGCCTGAGACTCTGAGCTTCCTCCCTAGAGATTCAGTTTCACTCCTTTCCTCAATTAGCTAAACAGTAGTTGCTCTGGACAGTCCCACCTCCTTTCACTGGGCTATGGGGACCAGATGGACTGACCAGGCTCTACCTTAGGGACCGCCCGGCAGGGGGAAGCACAAGAGACCCTACAACATCAACACTGGCTGACCGGTGCCTCCTCGGAAGCACAGCTCACGGAGCAGAGCCGGGCCCAGAGGGGCGAGGAGAGCAGCGGCATGAGGAGGAGCTGCGTCCAGGACGGCGCTCTGAGCAGAGCCTGAGCTGGAAGGGGCAGGGATGTGGCCAGTCGGAGACAGGGCGTCACAGATGGGGGTGCAGCAGGCCCCAGGCCTCGGAGACGAGAAGGCACTGGTGCACTTGCGTCACCGCTGGAGAAACCAGACACATTTTCCCGCAGCCCCGTCCCCTCCGCAGCCGTCATCCCAGCCCCACGGGGCGCACTCACAGGCCGGCACCAGCTCCAGGAAGAGCGCCTTCTGCGTGCGGTCCCGCTGGCGCAGCTGCCGCACGATGTGGCG